TCTAGTACCAAAGTGTCTTCCCATCACTATGGCCTTATTTGGGTCTCTCCAGGACACTCTATTGACTAAGCCTAACATTCTGCTGCTTGGACAGAGGAACGTCCATAGGATCTAACTATGATATCACAAAGCAGGGCAAGGAGGAGTGAGTTTAGAGCTCAGAGACAGTAGAGTGATCACTGGCACAGCTGATCTCTGAAAATGATTTATTTAAAGATCTTAAAAAACATTTTAGAAATCCACTCAAGTTTTAATTAAATTGCAAGGAGCTATGAGCTCTGTAAATCAGAAGCAGCAAGCCTTAAGGATCAGAAGACGAAAAGATGTGGATGAGCAGCAAGTGAAGACTGCTGCTGAGATGAAATAAAGAAATTATTGAAAAGAAGCTAAAAATGCAATAGTGTAATTAAAATAAGCATTGGTGGTATATACATACAACAGAATTTTCATTTTGTCAAATAGGAGGGATAAAATGGAGAATAAACTTGAGAGACAAATAGGGAAATGACTACAGAAGACATTAGTATATTATAGATTTGGCAGACAGACAAAAGTGGTGTACTTTAGGAATTATATGTGATCCTGAAGAAGAAAATTGAAAAATTAGAACAGAAGTAAAGATCAAAAACAAAATCAAAGGAATAGCATTGAATTAAAAAGCAATTTTGTTCTCAAACTGAAAGAACTCGCCGTATCTCAGTAAACTAATAAAAGGACTCAAACTTGTAAAAATTCTAGCAAAATTTTAAATCACATAAAGAGAAAATTCTGTCTAACTAGGAAAAAGAAAAAAGATCAGCAGCAAAGCACTTCAAATCGGGCTTGTCTATAAAACTAAGTTCTCAAAAACAACATCCGAGATGTCACTTCTCTTCTAAACTCTCTCTGGTTTCCCCACATTGATGGGGTGCTTTTTATGTTCCCATGGCATTGTGCAGTTCCCTTATTATATCATGCTTATCCCAATGAGTTATATTTACATGATTACTTCTCTCCTCCATTATAAATGCTGTAAAGATGAAATGATAAGGTAAAATGACTGAGTCTAAAGTTCAATCTTTGAAACAAGAAGTGTTTAAAGAAGACCTATACATAAGTCATCCTTGCCGCAAAGACAGAGAAAACACAGTTTCTTTCCTATTCAATAGCTTTATGCTTTCTGGACACATCTATTTTAGTAAATGCAGGAAGCAATTTTAACATTATGTTCACTGATGTTTCCCAAGTGACTAACCCAGAACAGTACAGAGTATATAACAGACACAGGATTAATATGTGTTTAATGGAAGCATAGAAACATTAGAGTTAAAATTTAAAGAGACTTCCCATGAAATGGTGTTAAATCATTGCTGTTTTTATCTCTTCCATAGGCTTGTAACTGCAGCTTGGTAGGATCTTTGGAATTCCAGTGCAATATAAACACGGGCCAATGCAACTGTCATCCAAAATTCTCTGGTGCAAAATGTACAGAGTGCATTCGAGGTCACTGGAACTACCCTCACTGTAATCCCTGTGACTGCTTCCTGCCAGGGACTGATGACTCAACCTGTGATTTAGAAACTAAAAAGTGCTCCTGTGTCGATCAGACTGGGCAGTGTTCCTGTAAGGTATGTACTGCCGAAATTCAGTAAGGAAAAACCTCACTCAATTCTATTTCCATTGCTGAGTCTTAACTTCCATTCAGTTATTTATTCCTGCGTCGTTAAGCCAAACAGACAGACGGATATTCATTGCAAGACACAGAGTTTTTATCTGGCATACAGATCAGCACTGCTTTTTAAGAATTTATTTTCATCCAAAACCCAACTATTTTTCTAGCTGGTGTAAGTGATTTATTTTCAATAGTGAAGTTCAGTTTGCCTTCACATATTCACTTTGCTTCAACAAGAATAATTAGGGAGGGAAAAAAAAAGACAGTTCTCTTAAGCATCATCAGAGAAAATCACTGCTAAATAATAAGCCATATTAAAAAAAATTTCTCCTCAAATTAATCCACCATTGCTGTACACTGAAAAATATATTTACTGCTGTGGAAGTTTAGTAAAATTTCATCACGTATAAACACCGACATTAGAAACAGTGACTATATGCAAATTTCAGCCCTCATTAATATTGTTAAATGATGTAGAAAAACAGCCAATTAAAAAGGATAAGAAGGATTTTTTCCCCCTTAGATATTTCTGAAAAATCAATCCCAGGGAAAAATGCAGTGAAGACTGTCTCAGAGATATCTTTTCAAGAAAAAGTCTATGCAAAGAGGGACCGAGGAAACAAGAAGATGAAATCTGAGGAGTGATTGTTAAATAGTCTTGAGAATTTAGGAAAACAGCAGCTTCTGCCATTAAAAGTCCTAGACAAAAATAATGCTTCATTATTGCATATTATAATTATGATTATAAGTCATATTTAATACATGCTATATGAGTGTATGCACAGTATTCAATAATAATTTTATAAATCTATATTTTGATATCCCACCTATTTTTTTACAACTTTGCATCACACCACTGTCTAAGAATCAGTGTTTTTATTCTACTTTTGAAATTCTCATGATTCTCATACTCCTCACAGTGCAATAGTAGGAAACATGCTGCTTAAACTTAAAAAACAATATACAATATCCTTAGTAATAAAGCATTTTTATTCCTTCTTGAGTTTATTTCTCTCATAACTTCACCAAATGGACTCTGAGGAACTCTCATCCTTCTTCAGGTGAATGTGGAAGGTGTCCACTGTGACAGGTGCAGGCCTGGCACATTCGGACGTGATGCCAAGAACCCACTTGGCTGCAGCAGCTGCTATTGCTTCGGTGCTACCACTCAGTGCTCTGAAGCAAAAGGACTGATCCGCACGTGGGTGAGTAAGGAACTGGTGAGCCATGTAATGGTATAATGTGAGCTCCTGCTGGCGTCTTTTAGCCAGGCACTGAGGGGCAGGAGGCAACGGCAAAACGTTTAAGTAACCTTTTCCCCTGTGCACATTTAGAACTGCTGAAGAAGCCATGTGCCATTAGACAGTGGAGGAAAATACCTTTTATATTCTTCCTTAAAAATAGTTCACTTATTGTGGGTAAGGAAATAGACACCAAGTGAAAAAGGAAAACGTTATGAGGAAAACGTCGTGTTTTGGGGGATGGGAAGAAGCTACTTTCTAAAGCGCGAGGGCGCCCGTGTTTGAAGGTAGAGATGTGCTCATGCAGTAATGAAAACCAGAACTTGTGCACTTATTCCAACCAGCCTTAGAGAATCGTTGCTTTTTAGGGTAGAAATACGTTCATTTTTACCTTAATTTTCCTGTAACTCTTTCTACTTTTAAACTCCACTTTTTGATAGTGTAACAGACCAGTTTCACAGATGTTGTGGATTTCACTATGCAAACAGGTCAGAATGGTTTCTCCCCTCTGACCTGCTCATTGTGCACGAGTTCTGTTCCTTGTGAGAACACTTCGTCAGAAGGGAATGGGGCTGCAGGTAGATGTGCAGTCTACAACTCAGTTGTAAAGGAGGCTACTTGCTGTGTTTTGATCCCTTGCAGGTGACTCTGAAGCCTGAGCAGACCATCCTGCCCCTGGTGGATGAGGCATTGCAGCACACAACTACCAAAGGCATCATGTTTCAACCTCCAGAGATTGTTGCACACATGGATCTAGTAAGACAAGATCTTCATTTGGAACCTTTTTATTGGAAACTTCCAGAACAATTTGAAGGAAGAAAGGTAAGGACAACTTTGAAGTCGCATGAGAACAAGATAAAATATGTTTTTAGAATAATGCTATTTGCAGACTTATCTAATGCATTATTCTCCATTTTATTTTGCCAGTTGATGGCCTATGGTGGCAAGCTCAAGTATGCAATCTATTTTGAGGCTCGGGAAGAGACAGGTTTCTCTACATATAATCCTCAAGTTATCATTCGAGGTGGGACTCCTTCTCATGCGAGAATTATCATCAGGCATATGGCTGCTCCTCTAATCGGCCAACTGACAAGGCATGAAATTGAAATGACAGAGGTAAGGTTGTTAGTTATTGGGTGCCAGGATGCCAGTGGTTCTGCATTCAGTTTTGTCAAGGTGGTTTCCTTTCTTGTTAACAGAAAGAATGGAAATATTATGGTGATGATCCTCGAATCAGTAGAACTGTGACCCGTGAAGACTTCTTGGATGTACTATATGATATCCATTATATTCTTATCAAGGCTACCTATGGAAATATCATGAGACAAAGCAGGTAAACTTTAGTAAAAAACATCCAAGTTAAGTTTTTATTCTACAGTCTATAAGAAAGATCAGTAAGACATTAGACAAGAAAGATTTAAAAATTTGATTTGAGAATGTGATGATAGAAAACAAATCAAGGATGACATCCAGGTCACCTGGTGGAAGTTATTGCCTTTCCCCAAAAAACGAAAACAGGCTGAGAAGCAAGATTAAGGGGAACAATACTGAATTGATCTTTGACATGGTTAAGTTTTAGATGCCACTCATAAGTTCTGGAGAAGATGTCCTTCAAGGTAGAGAGAATTCCTTGTTGTGCTATAAATAGATTGCAAAATAGCTGAGAAAGTGTCCTCCTTCAACCCTCAGGGGAACCAGACAAGGCCAAGTTGGTCCTGTCTCTTCCAGTCATGTGCATTCTCATCTGTTCACCCCGTGTGCCATACAGTGTTGTCATTTTCCCTGTGCGTTGTGATGTGAAAATACAGGAGTCAAACCGAATAGGAGAGTACACAGAAGAAAAGCAAGAGTAGATGTAGTGTCATGGAAGCCAAAGGATGAAATACTACAAGGGAGTATGTACAGTGTTTTCATGTGACCCAAAGAGGCCAATTAAAATGAGGTTTTTTGGAGCTTATACTTAGGATCACACTGGTGACATCCACAATACCAGTTTTAGTGAAGCCCTGGGGCAGAAAACAGTCTCAAAGTTTTGGGGAATGAATGGGTCACAATGAACCTGTTATTACAAGTATAGGCTATTGTTTTTCATGAACAAAAGTATAAAAGGGAGAAAATTGATCGTGCCAAAGATCAAGGGATGATTGTTTAATCTGAGAGAGAAATAAGCATATTTATATACCATGGAGGAGGGGGTAGAATTAGTAGTAAGATACACATAAAAAATGATAGAATAAAGAGAAAATAAATAATGGAGAAGCCGGGATACTTCAACACCGTGAGTACACATGGTCATGTCCCTCAAGTGTAAGGGACAACTTATCCAATGAGATCAAATGAGGCATTGCACTAATGTAGCTAAGTTTCATAGATTGGAGGCAGAAAGTTGTTGACTTCATACACAGAGTCTCAATTTCTCTGGCATATCAATTTCTCTGTTATATCCTGTAAGAATATGAAATCAATAAATTAAAAATTGTCTTATATCATAAAATAGATCAGTGCAGGAAAACATAATTATGAACCCTCTCACTGGCAAACCAATGGATATAAAAATACCATATTTCAAATGTTTACATTATGCCAAACATGCAGCAGAAAATTTTTTCTTTGTTGCAGAAGATCCATATTGCTCTTCTGATTCTACCAAAAGTAGGGACCAAATCAAGGACCGAAATTCACTTTCAAGTCTGTACTGCTTTGATTTCTTTTCTGTATTTCTCATTTCTAACAGGAGATTATTTTTATGCAAATAATAAAAAGCATGTCCCAAAATATATTGTCAGGTATATTGTTAATTATTTTAGAATATCAGATATAACTCAGGTGGCAGAAGTCAAAGCAGGTTTGCATGTCATAGAAGACAGCAGGTACCTTTGTGAATGTGCGAATATATTATTTTGCAAGGTGTTCTGTGTTTCAGTAAAAAAGTTTGGTAGTACACAGAACATTTTGTTAGAGGATCAGATAGAAACAATGTTGTCATGCATTTTTCATTATATTTTCTTTGCCTCTCCCACGCAGATTCCACCTTCCTGTGAGGTTGCTTTTTTCCCCATAAGTCTCTTTCTCTTATCACCTTTCACATACCTTACTAAATAATATCCTTTGGCTTAGGAGCTTATTTCTTGAAACATTAAATAAAGACAACTTTTTCTAGGTTCAGTTAAAACTAGAGTGAGCATCAAGCAACAATAAAAACAAAGCCACGGATTGGCACTTGATTTTTGTAAGACAGTGAAATTATGAGAAAGATCAAAAAGATGCTCATTTTCCCCCTGAAGTAGTTAAGTCATAACCCTACTAAGATGCATCTTTATTCAGTTACAAATTTAAAGTCTCAGAAGAAGAGATCTTAAGAATTATGCATATGATTTGAGATTCGGACTTTGTACATATTGTCAATGCTGAAATTAATTTTTTTCTTTGCTTTTGTCTTCTCTTACACTTATTTGAAGAACGTAACAACTTTGTTTTTCAGTATTCACTTAATTAGAAGCCTGAGTTTGGCTAAATCCCTGATTCAGGCAAAACAGTTCCTCTCTGATTCCCTGAGGAAAAATGATGTATTGCAGAAATATCTGTTGCTGACACCATTTAGATTTCTCTTGGTTTTTAAATCCTCACTAGTCTGCTGTGTGCATGCATGTACAGTAGATGGGAAGGTGACTGTAAAATACCACAAGATGCCAGCAGAGATGGCTTGTCAACAAATACCAAGTTACTTTCTTACTTCCTCAGAAAATCTAGTCTTCCTTATAGGAGGGGAGAGGTGTGTTTACAGATCACAACTACCATGCGTCCTACAGGGAGGACAGTGTGAAATCTGAATTTTAACTGAACACGTGTTTCATAAAGGTTGGCTGGTCGTCAGACTGCAGATTACAATGTGAGTGGAGTCAGAATATGCATTCATAATTCAGTGTCAATAAAACCTACCTATGCTTGTTATAAAGTTTATGACTCAAGCTCCTTAAGCGATTGGAGGTGGCTTTTATTGAAGCAAAACTATTCATTGTCTCATTTAAAAGTTTATTTGCAGAACATTTCATGTTACCAGTTAGTCATGAAATAGTCTGAGTTTATGGACTGCATATATTTTAAATGTATAATTTCAAATTAATGAAAAGGATATCACCATGTTCACTGTGAATATTTTTTTTTCAATTATAAAGGCCTTTCTACCAGTAGGAAAGGTGAGTTAAGTTACTTAAAGAATTTATTCAATAAAGTTAACAAAACTCTAATTTGAAAGGTTCTCTATCCTCAGAAAGACATTACTATTATTAGATTATTCTCAATCATTGTTTCCTAGATGGTTTTCTAAAGTTCTTGAAAGGATATTCAGAGATTCAAGAGCAAGAAATTGGGGCCGGTTGCAAATTAAAAGCAATTTCACTGGTAACTCCAGGAGATACTCTAACAGGGAATCACCTTGGGTTATCTGTTTGAAAGACTGTAAATGTCTAATTAATTGGCTATGCCTACCTGAAGCCACTCACATTTTTAAAAGTGGAGGAAAAAAATCTTTATAATAACTTCTTAACAGGACATCAGATATCTAATTTCCTAAATGCTGTATGATTTATGTGAAATATTTACAAATGTGTAATCTCACCCTTTGAGGAGGCAAAGATTCAGGAATAAGATGGGGCACAGAGGCTCCTGGAATTTAGCAGCTTCAAAACAACAGAACAAACTGAGGTTATTGACAAAACCCTGAGAAGACTCTTCTTGTAGGACAGAGTGTTTCCTAGGTGAGCTTAAATTACTGGTCCATCTAAGCATCTGCTCATTGTTTCCAGGATTTCTGAAATCTCAATGGAGGTAGCTGAACAAGGACGCATAACAGCAGTGACGCCTCCAGCTCACTTGATAGAAAGATGTGATTGCCCCCCGGGCTATTCTGGCTTGTCCTGTGAGGTAAGCTGGCTCTAACAGTGTCTACAGTGAGACACTGTAAGGAGATGATGAAGTAGGAATCAGAACTGAAGGGAAATATTTAATAAAAATTAAAAGATTTGTAAAAATATAAAACAGGAAATTAGAGTTTTCCTAAGGCCCATTTATTGTATCTGATCTGTTTTCTTGGCACCTTTCCTGAACAGTTAGAGACATTTCAAATGCAGTGATTATGAGATAGGATTATATCGGGTTTTGAAAGACTGTTTTTATACAGAACATGACAGAAGTTAGGCACCAAATAAGAGACTGTTCCCATCAACATAAGCTTCTCAGAAGGACATATATTCCTCCGAAGTGCCACTATCACTAAGTCATTATATTTTTGAAACTATAGGGATTTTTGTTTGCTTGTTTTTTACTTTCTGGGATAGTCTTTTGACTGTCTTCAGAATTGGTCAATTTTCTAGATTTTTATTTTGTAGAAGCAATTTAACTTTTACAAATAATAAATCTTAATAGGAAGAGGACGATCTAGGGAAAGGTGGAATTGCTAAGAAACTGGCCTGGGTTTGAATCTCTGCTTCACCATATTCTAGGACTGTGACTTGTGCAGCTTATAAACCTGCTTAGGCTTCAGCTGGTCAATCCCCAAGCCCCTGAGTACCTGCCACCACCTCACCCCTTCTCCTGCAGGCCGCATAGTCTTCCCCACAGTGCAACAACTAAAGGCTGATTTGGGAGGGGCCTCCAGGTCCTGCTCCAGCCCTACAGCACAGTTCTTTCCCTTTACTCAGATTGATTGGTGGCCATCACATACCAGTTAGATATTTTTAATATCTCCCCCACTTACAGCTCAAGAACCATATGAAGACTAAGTGAACTAGAACTTAAGCACTTATCCTAGTGCCTGGCAGTAGTCGATATTAGTCAATGTGGTTAATAATATTATCAATGGAATAAGTGTTTTACTATCTATGGATTGATTTATTTATAAATAGAATTGACCCTTGAACAGAATGGGTTTCAACTGCCTGGCTCCACTTATAGACACATTTTTTTCAGTAAGTGCATAGTAGGCCCTCTGTATTTCCCCCTCACCAATATAAGCAACTGCAGATCAAAATTCTATCTATGGTTGGTTGAATCCTCTGAGACTGAACCCCTGGATATGGGAGGACTGAATCTGAGACTTACACATCCAGCAAAAAGCTACAGATGACTGTAATTTTGTACTTCTTTTGCAAACAAGATTTAAGAAGGTTTATTAAGTATGGCTCCTGAGGCAGGTGAAATACAACTTAAAAGTAAGGAACATAAATCTGAGAGGTGGCATGGTGTAATGAAAGGAAAAAGGGGTTTGGTTTCGGTGCTCCCTTGCTTTGAACAGAGCATTTGGTCTTTGTTGTTGGACTTCGGGGTTTTTGTAGAATCATCATGAGGATTAATTTAAATGAAAACACATGTAAGAATGCTACATTGTAAATTGAAATATTGTTCAGCTTAGTTACCATCATATGAATTCCACACAGTTCAGAGAACAGTTTCATAAGAGTAATGTCAAATCTCTGTGAAACATCCTTGGAATAATTGTATAGCTTTGTGACTGCTCTGAACAGCAATATTTATTTGCATGTGTTCATTCTGATCTAATAAATAGTCAAATAACCCATCTAATTAAATTGTAACTCCTACATACACATGTATACATTTGTACACACACCAGTAAGTATATATATTGAACTTATATGCACAACCCAATGAAAAACACACATGCACCCACAGGGTGGATGTGAAAAATGAGACAGTGAGCAAAGCACATACAAAATATGCTACCTTTCCAATGAGCATGAAGGGTTTAAAGATAAAAGACAGTAAGAACTTGAGATTTTTCTGGACAAGAGGTAGAATTTTATTTTCCCAAGGTGTGTGTGACTGTACTGCTGTCTCACTGTGTGACCTTGGTCAGTCCCTTAGTTATTATATAGTTATCCAGTCTATAAAATTACAGGTTGGGTTTTGAAGTTCTAACATTCTCTGATTCTGTAATATTGTTTTGCTATAGAAGGTATGGAGTAAGTAATCAAGATTGACCTTAAGACATCTAAAAGAGAAAGTTACTACAGCTATGTTTTTGTGCACTTATTTAAAAAGATACACTCTTCACTTCTGAACAAAAATATTAGCAGAGTAGCAAATTACTTCAATGCAGTCTACCTTCCATTCCAGATTTTAAATGTTAAAAATTCTTCTTATTGTGGTTGGTAGGCTTTTTAAATAGTATACTCTAAAACATGGTTTCCCATTAATCTTAGTCATTTCCATCATTATATGAAAACATAAATTAGTGCACGTAACGCAAATAATATACAAAGAAAATCAAGAAAAACTAGAAATGCATACCAACTATTATATGCATTGGTGGCTTCACCTATATCCTGTGGATTTCACTTAAGCTCCTATTTACAGACAATAATTACAGTAATATCTTAGTGAAGAGATTATGGGGATAAAGACCTATCTTTTATAATAAGGTACCTGAG